GGGCTGAGCCCGCCCCCCTCCGGCCTTGCCTTTCCCTGGGGTAGCCGGGCGGGGCGGGGGGATGCCGTGGTGGCTCTCCGGCTCGTCTCCGCTCCATCAGGCTGATGTGCTGTGACAGTTCTGCGGAATTGCTGACCCGAGGGGCTGCGCGGGGCTGTTTATGGAGAGACAAAGCCAGGGGACACCAGGCAGGAGGCCAGCCTGAGATGTCTGCAGCCAAGAGCGGGTCATCTTTGGGGTTCCTTGGGTGGCTTGATGGAAAATGTGCTGTTTCGTGAAGGTCATGGGAAAACCCCCACGGGGATTCTGGTTTATACGAGAGCAACCCTTCGGTCCTGGTAGTTTGATCCTGTTTGCAGGAGCAGGCTAGGTTTGGTGGCAGGCATCTGCATGGAAGACAGTGGGCCATCCTCTGATTTTAGCTTGTGTTTCCTCTGGCCCCACTGCTTAGGAGCAGCCCACACGCTGATAGCAAAGTCTATTTTTAGGCAGCGGTTGTGATCAAGTTTTCCTTTTGTGGGGAAATATCAAACCATTAAATCAGACCTCTGAGTAGAGGGCAGCACCCTTTAGCCGCTCTTCTATCATCCAGGTTTATTTTTATCTTGCACCTCCAGTGCAGCAGTCTGGGAGCTAGCAGAGGAGGACTGAAGACCTTTAATAATTCATAGCTCCTATGTTTTGCTCCCAGGGATCAGAAAAGTGAGTTGCTGGAAGGGCGCTGCCAGAAACCTGCTCCATGCACACCACAGGACCCTGCCTGGGCGATGTGGCTGCCGTGCTTGCATGGTGCTCTGCCTGATGGCCTGCCTGTGCCCAGGACTTTGTGCAGGCTTGTCAGGCTCCGACACAGGCAGGGGACCCCAGGCAGTCCCTGGGCAGCAGTGCTCGCAGAGGGACGGCATTCAGGGTGGGGGAGCAGTCAGGACATGGCAGCATGTGCATGTCTGGCCCAGCATGCTCAGGACTGATCCAGCACGCTTGGGACCAACCCACTGTTGCACAAACATGTGCTGTAAACTTAATCCCGAGCTGTTGGCCCCTCAGTGTTCAAACAGCTCCTGAAATAATCTGTGCGGGCTGAGCCCGAGGGGAATTTCCCAGAAGCAGGGTTTTTGCTGCCATATCAGTTTTTTTCTTTTGATTAAAAGCAATATTAGAACCAGGACATACTCTGCATTTGGTTATGGAGCAGAGTCGATCTTTGGGATGGTCCTGTGTCTGGTGAAAGTGCATTTTGTACCCAAAGCCTCACGTGCATACCAGTGAGGCTCTGCAGACCACAGCATCCTTCCTTGCTCCCACCTGCCTATTAGCCAGTGCTTGGCAAACGCCCACGGAGGATGTGGAGGACTTTGGGATGGAAGGTGAGCCCTGGCAGTGGAAGAGAGCAGGTCTGCAGGGGAAGGCATGCCTTTGCTACATGCTTGCCTATCCCAGCAGAGAGATGCTGACAGATGGGGGGACTCCACTTTGGAGACCGAACCAGCTACTCCACTCATGGCTGCCCTGTGAACATGGGCACTGCTGGGTTCAGCTTTGGACCTCATGGTACTGGAAGGCTCAGAGATGCATCTGGAGCATCCACCTTTTGCAGTGGCTGGGAAGCTGCTCACCCACAAGCTTCTGCACGCAGGTGCTGGGGTCCTTCAGGATCTGCTCCACATGGATGGAGGAGCTGAGTTTCAGCAGCTGCTTTGGCAAAGCACAAGGCGAGCCAAGCATTACACAGCCTGGTTTTGTTTATGTGCTGGTGCCTTGTGCCTTCTGACTTGCTGCTCTGTCTTGGCTCGTGGCTTTGCTCCTGTTGACAGCTTTATGGGGTGTTAAATTACTTCCAGGGTCCACTTGATGCTCCCGTCACATCTGAGCATGGCAGCTCCTTGGCACATGTAGCCCAGGAGCTGGAAAAAGAAAATTCAAAAGAGCTTTTGCTCTCTCTGAGCAGGAGCAAGGGCAGGCTGCAGTGGTAGCTGCTGGTGGTGCCTCACACCTTTCCTCCCAAGTACTGGTGGGAGCAGCTGGTTTATCAGCGGCCAAATGCCGCCTTCTGTCCTTGCAGTGCTTACAAGAAGCTTCCTGGCTTTGCTGCGTTCTCTGCTGTCTCCTGGACAGGCCTGCCATGCACAGGCTTGTTGTCATCTTACTCTTTAAATATTACCCACCTGAAAATATCCCTGGGATTTGTTCTGTCGAGGAACACAGTACAAAATTTACAGGCACGTCTTTTAGTTAAACTGTGTGACGGATTTCCTCATCTGTATATATTGTCCATCAATCGATATTAGGTTGCCTGCAATCTCGGGTGTCTCCATTTGTATCCATGTGTGTGTTTTTCCGTGTTGTTTTTCTCCCACTGTGAGCTGTGGCTTGCCTTAATTTGATTGAATAAACCCACTATGTTGCTGAACTGTAATGAGACATCATTGACCGCACTATCCAGATTGTACCCTTCAAAATGGCATGTTCCTTACCCCGGAAGAGAGTGGGGTTTGCTGCAATGCCTTTTACGTAGGGCAGGTTTTCGTTGCTGTTGGTCAGTTGTCCTTCACAGAGTCAGGGCATGCATGAGCTGATCCGTTCTGGTTCAGCATCACAAAGAAATGCTGGGTGCAGTGACTCCCCAAGCAAGAGCAGAGCTGCTGCCGTGCCCCAAGAGCCAGTGGGGTGTGCATGGTGTGGCACCAAGGGCTGGCTCTTGCTGTTTGCAAGGAGTGGTGTGAGGCATTGACCCTGTGTCCATGTCAGGACTGGAGACCTCCATGGTTGCTATTGCTAAATGATAAGAGAGATTTCCAGCTGGTGAGCTCACTAAACATGTCCTTTTGTGCTACTGGTTGCAGGTAATTGCTGATAAACGCAGGACCTCATAGTTATTCTGCTGATGCCTGTCTGATCCCTGACTTTAACTGCTCTTTACTTGTAGGTTGTTAAAGGTTTAGGGGCAGAAAAAAGGAAGTTGAATGTATTGGTTGTTAAAGGTCTGGGAGAAAAAAAAATGTAAAAAAAAAAAGTTGAGGGTATTGGGTAGGTGAAAAAAGTTCTGTTAAAATCAGCTCTTTTGAGGGGTGAAGTAAAAGGCTGGCAGTACATTACAGCTTCTCCTGGCAGTGCATTGCCCAGCTTTGCAGCGAGGTCGACATTTTGGATGTTCATGGTGGTAACTTGCATGTGTTACTGCAGCACTGAAGTCCCTTCCCTTTGCTTCGTGCAGTTGCTCTAAAGAATCACGGTGCCAAAGAAGCAGTGAGGGATGGAGACTGCAGCAACGGACCAGCTCTGCGCTCAGCAGCGGTACCGGAGGGTGAACTGCTCCTACAGGTTAGTGCTCCTCCCTGACCACCTCTCCCTGGCAGATGCTTTCAAGGGATTTTCTTCTTGTCCCCTTTCCAGCTCCTTTGAATTTTGCCCAAAGAGCAGGCTGTTCTGTTATCGATTGCAGGATGTTTTGGTGAAGCAGCGATTTCACATGGTGTAGCTCATAGTGCTTCTGACTGAGCAGAGGTTCAAGACCTCTTCAGGTCCCTAGGGCAGAAACTGTGTTGCTTCTCCTCTCCTTTTCCCATCCTTCCTGGAGAAAATTGCCACCTGTAAATCATTTGGATGTCAGAACCCCCTTCATCTCGGTGGAAGCAGTGCTAAACTTCTGACCACGGAGATTCAGCTCTTCTGCTTCTCTGCCCTTGTGTGTAAATGGGCCATAGATGTGACACAGGAGCCAAGCAGAGAAAGATGTTTCAAGTGTGGTTTTCAACATGGGCACACTGGTGCCGACTTGGGGATGTTGTCCAAACACTGGTGAAAGCAGGGAAGAAAATGTCATGGAAGTCTTCCCTGGTTTTCAGGTAGTGATACATGACACCGAGTACATAGATAGGTGCTGATGGGCCATATGCTTAGCCCGTATACACAGGGTACGTGGATGTATCCTGGGAGCTCTGCGAGAGGCATATAGTTGGCTCCTTTGGTGATGCTGGAGGCAACGCTGGTGATGCTGCAGCATGGCTGGGCTGAGCCTGCTGATTCCATGGTTTATTCAGAGACGCCAGGAGATGACCTCCTGTCTCCAAACCGCACATGGTGAATAGGAAGAGGTCAGGCTCTGGCAGCGTGAGGTCCTGCGAGGACGTGGGTCTCCTCTTCCTTCCCTGCCTGGCACCCAAGCACGAGCTGCAGCACTGTCCCCTGCCTGGCTATCATCCAGAGTGGGGTGAGCATGCTGGTCAGCCCCAGCTCCTTTCCAAAAGCTTGCTCAGCTCTTAGCAGTAAGTATAATTACTGTCCTGCTTGAGAGCTGGGGAGCCAGGATCTCAGTGTCTAGTGAGAGAAATGCTAAAGCCAAGGTGGATAATAAACAAAAAACTGAGGGTTTTCCGCTGTGGATATAACAAAACCGTGCTCAACAGGGCTTGCCAGGGATTGATGTCCTGCTCATCAACTTGATGCCATCCTTGTAGAGGTACCAAGCTGGGTGTTAAAAGCTCTGGGTTTATGTTTGGCTCTTCCAGGGGCCCATCTGTGTGATGCTGGACACAGCAGGGGCTCAGAACCTGCCTCCGCGCCACAAGGAAGTGCTCCTATGTTAAAAAACTACTTCCACCTGGTCTGTTACCTTCGACGTCCTAACCTCCTTTGTCTCATCTCTTGGTCCACTCTGATTCTTCGCTTCCCCTCCTCTAATTTCCCAGCCTTACTTTTTTGGCCTGTCCTTTTCCACCAAGACTCTGACCAGCAGCAATCTCAGCAGAGGAAGGTATCTTAAACTAGGTTTAAGCATGAAAATCCCTCTAAAGGGGCCAAGGCCTTAGCAAGGCTGAGAACTGGGTGGACCACCTCTGCCCAGGTGCACAGCGATGCAGGTACACATCGCTGGTTGCAGGGTACTAAATCAGCCTGCTGGTCGGTGCAGTTAGGAAAGGACAGTGCTGCAAGATGTTGCTTGCTCCTGCCATGGCAAAGCAATGCCTCTGAAGCTGCTCAAAGGGTTAAAGTGCATTTGGCAACACTAATTAACCTCTGCAGCAGATTCCCACACACTGAGATCAACCGCAGTAAACAGAGAGAGTGTTTGTGCCCAGAATAAAGGGAAGGAGTTGGGGGGAGAAATGCAGACCTGGACAATGAAACAGGAGTTGGCAGCAACAATAGCTGGACTTGGCTGAGACTACATGCTAGACCCTAATTAATCCTGATGTCTGTACATTATGAAGTGGGGGAAGCAGGCCAAAGCTGGCCACTGTGGCTTCCCTGCCTGCAGCCAGGTTAGTGGTACAGGATGGTTTTGGCTCTGGACAGCCATAGGGCTTCTGGGGTCCATGCTGCAGGAGGACTCCTGCCTTCTAGAGGGCTCCTGCTTCGAGCTGGCAGGAGTGTCCCCATAGGGACCTGTTGCCCTTAGGGAGGGGTGGCCGGGTGGTGCTGTCACGGCTGTGAAAGCTGTTCAGCTTCTGGGGAGCTAAAATGGGTTTTCATGGCCTTTGCTCTTAGGCAGCACCATGGGCTTGAAGGTGTTTACTGGAAGTCTATCGGGATCATTTCAGAGCTGGGGAAACTGAGTCACAGAGCAATGCCTACCACTCAGGGTCAAGGGAAGACTCCTGTGGGCCTGCTCCCAGCCCTGGCAAAGTGATGACATGGTCTTCAAAGCACTGGGCTCTGCACCACCATGGTTGGCAAAGGCTGGTGCAGTGTCTGCAGTGCTTAGGAGTGCTTTGGGGTGCTCCCCTGGATCCTGAACACTGCCTGTGTTAGCAATGCTCTCCTGTGTACCAGCTCCTGCCTGGTGCCAGAGAGCAGGGATGAAAAGCCAGGGCTCCTGGGACAGCAGCTGCACTCCCAAACTGGTAGGGAAGCTCCTCTGCACCTTCTAATCTTCATGGATTTCCAGGTGCAGAGGACACCATCAGCCAGCACCCTGGTCCCTTGTCCCGTGTCCTGTCCTGCCAGCCCTGGGGCTGCTGGCTTGGAGAAAACACCCAAATTACTTCCCAAATTTGTTAAGCCGATGAGCTCCTCTTGAGGAAGACAGAGGCTCCAGTCAGCTCAGCACATTCCTGCCTGGGAACGCAGTGCTCCCTTGGATGTTGACTTTGCTGGAGCTGGAGCTCAAGGAGAGGATGGAAAGGCCAGCAAACTGTAAAATATGTAAGTTGTGTAGCATTAAAAATGCATTGGAAACTTTGAATTGATGGCTGCTTTTGCTATTTTCTGTGGGGAGGGCTTAGTGCTTTGAGCCTGCACGGGCAAAGGAGCTTGAGTATTTATTTTGTGAAAACAGAGCATGGTGTTCAGCCTGTTTGGGTGGAGGGCGTGCACAAACGAGCACGTGCTCCAGGGACGGGGTGTTTGCATTGTGTAAATCTGTACGCCACAGAGAGAGAGAGCTCCAGAGGAAGAGGAGCGTGGCTGAGAGCATCTTGTGGCTAATGTGTGCATCCCAGGCACGGATGGCTGCAGACATCACTTTCCCCCATAAACACTGATGCTTGGCCCTTTCGCTGCCATGTGGTGCTTTGGAAGGACGGTGCTGTGCAGGTTGGATTGAATGCCTTGCAGCAGGTTGTCGCCGGGTGTGAGTTTGGGGTGAATCATTTATTTGTCAAAAGGAAAAGGTACTCTGAGGTCAACCAGCAATTCTGTGGTTTTCCCCCAAGTCCAGGGACCAGACTCAGTCTGTCCTCTCTCCTGCTTTGGAATAAAATGGCTTTTCAGAAATGAGATGTTTTCGCTAAGGTTTCAAAGACCAAACTCTTATGCTTTAGCTTTCACCTTTTCTGTTTTCATGGGTTAAGGCTCTTTGCAGTGTTGTGTTGGCCACCTCGACTACAGGGTGAGCGATGCAGGAGAAGGGAGTGGGTGGTGGAGACACCACCTTTCTAGGCCTTGTTCCTTGCCCATGGACAGCCCAGGCAGGCACACCACAGTCCTTCTCCAGGCCTCTCCTCTGGCACCTGGGGAGGACAGGAGGGATGCAAATGAGGCCAGGAGCTGGGCAGGTTTCTCCCAAGCCAGCAGGAGTATCCCCATCCATGTGGGCCAAGCAGCAGTAGGGAATGCCCAGCCAATGCTGGCAGCACGCAGTGATCTGCGGTGGGTTTGCTCTCCACTGAACATCCCCTGGCTTTTCCAGCCTCACGCTGTGCTAAGCCATGCAGGGCTGCTAAGACCCTCTCGGGCTATGGGGAGGATGGGAACTACATGAACGGAGCCACCCAGGTAGATGCGGGTCAACATTAAATGCAGCCGACGTGAAATGCTGTTTTGATTCAAGGTTGTCAGAAAGGCTTGTTTCTGCCAGAATACCGGAATGGACCAGTTCCTGATGGTGTCCGGTTTCGTTCTGCAAACCATTCTGAGATTTTTATTTGCTCTTTGCATAGGATGAGTATAAATGTCCAAAACTGAGTCTGAGCAAACGCTTCCGGGATGGAAGCAAAGTTTTCCATCAGTTTGGATTAGGATACGCTCGGGCAGCTGTACAGAAGAGCTACATGACCTCAGAGAAACCCAGCAGAAGGTACCATCTCTTTTCTTGGTGAGCACAGCTGCGCCAGCATTGATCCCCATTTTTCTCTGGCCAGCCTTCAGCTGGTGGAGTTTACTCAAACAAGGCAGAGCGGAGGAAAATCTGAGAATGAACTGCAGGCTTTGACCTCTGCTAGGTAAAGCAGACTCATCAGGTCTGTGAAAACCTGTGGTTTAGGTGCATGTGCTCTGGCACCGTGGCAAGGTATGTGCATAGAGGCAACTGCAAGGATTGAGATCTCTGGTGCTGTTCCCATCCTGCAGGAAGGGTATGAAACCAAGAAGCTGCTTGAACAGTGCATCGGAGGATTTGGTGAGAGCCAGGGCAGTACCCAGTGTTATGGCACTGAGATGCCATTGGGAAGGGCTTTCTTTCCTTCCAGGGCTTCCCATGCTTTGTCTCCTGCCCTACACCTTTTTCTTGGTAGGGCAGTGGATCAGCTGCCTGCTAGCTGGGACCAGCCAGGACTTGGGTGACCAGTGTCTGAGCAGAGTGAAACTCGCCATCCAGTTAGAAAAAGGTGATGTGAGTGTGGCATGTACCTGCTGATCTCCTCTCTTCCCTAGGCGCTCAATGGCTTTGTGCTGGTGGTGACGTCAGAAGGACTGATATTTTACTCCTCACATACGATTCAGGACTATCTGGGATTTCATCAGGTTGGTGGGACACCTCTGACTCACTGTGGTGGGTTTGCAGGGTGGATTTTTCCTTGATGGTGGAGAATAGCCGCAAGTTTCCTGCGAGGAGGAAGCTCTGCAGGGATCACAGGGTCTCGGGGGACTGCATGGGGCTTTTCCTTGATCTTGTGAATTTGGACCCCATGTGGCCAGACATGGTTGTAGGGAGGTGTCAAAGCAACTTTGCTAGCCCACAGATGCTTTCCACCAGCCATGTTGACAGGCTATGAGGTTCATGGCCCCGTTGTGTAATGCCATGGTGAGATGTCTGGGGTTGTCTGCCCAGTGTGCCTTTGGGCACCCACTCCTCTGGGTGATGCCTGGCAAATCCCATAAGGCTCCAATGCTTTGTGGTTATCTGAGCACTCGGGTAACCTGGAAGGCACTAGGTCAGATTTACAGGGAGGTGGGACTTACCTACAGTCCTTTAGTTACTGTGGTTTGGTGTTGCTCCCACACAGCTGGCTTTCCCTGACATCTGGGGTAGATGTGGACTGTCCACCTGGGCAGAGGGAGCAAGTCCCAGAGCAGGTGCCTTGTTCTCTCAGTAACAGTGTAGGGCTGGGGTGGCTTTACTGCTGTTTTGTTCCAAACCCATGTTTTCATCTCGTCCTGTAAGTCAGCACTAGGATTTTGAAGGACACCATGTTACAGGGATGAGCTTGTCAGAGGGGAGCTGTATTGCTGATGCTAGTGGCTCTTTGGGTGGGGGGGAGGTCTGGCTCAACATGGGCAAGGGGTCCTTAGAGCCAGATGTGCTGTCTGTTCCCACCAGCATCAGCTCTGGTGGAAGGTGTCAAACCTCATTCAGCCAGGGACCTAGTTGAGCACCAGGGAAATTGGGTGAGATATGGCCAATTGGGGCTGTGACAGGCTGTTTCCAGGTGGGATGTGAAAACTGGTGTCTGGGGGCAGGCCACAGAGCTCACGCGTTGCCTTTTTCCTCTAGACAGATGTCATGCACCAGAGCGTCTTTGAGCTGATCCACA